CAAAAAAACACCCCCCTCACAGTTGTCATGAAGGACAAAATTAGCTATATAGACCAAAACCACTTTTTGTACCCGGCTGTGTAAACATTTTTTTCTGCTGTGAAGTTGGGCATTTTAACATGAGGAGTCTATGGGACTGACTCTCTTTTGGAGCCAGCCTCTAGAGGCCAGTTGATGAATTACAGTTTTAGTCACTTCAGTGTTGGCTTCACGAGAGAGAGCAGAAAGTTGTCGCTCGATTCAAACGTGAAAAGCCGTGTTCGGTATTCGGCACAGTGTTTAATTTTGTTCGGCTTCGGCCAAGAATTTTTTATTTCGGTGCATCCCTAGTTTCACCCATTTTTCTACAGTGCGTTACTTGATTGGCTTTTTGTTCGTGTTCAGTCTCCGTTATGCATAGTTGCCTACTGTTATCACTCTGGTCTGATTGTAATTACGGTTATAAGTAAATGGTGTGTGTGATCAATCTTAGTGTTTTAGCTTAATAATGACAGCATGCTTAAATATTTCAGATACTTGAACTTGGATTGCTGGCTGGAGTGGACGTGAAGGACATGGTCTGGCGAGTTATGAGGCAGGCGATCAAAAATGACTCGGCTAAAGCGGTGAACTGGAGAAGTGTAAATGGGAAAACACCAAATCAAAGTTTGGAGCATAAAAACATTGTGATTGCTAAATGCATTTTTATTCCACACGTCATGAATGAATGTTGAAAGTCGTAGTTCTTAGACTGGTGGTGTCTAAATGTATTGTAACTCTGTATGTGTATGCTCCTATTGTAGAGGCTGTCAGAAGAAATCCTGTATGTGCACACAACTGAGCTGGTGGTCGAAACCGTTTCATCTAGCTGGTGACCGTGAGGTGGCAGAAAGAGAAGAACGACTTCACAAGATGCTAATGTAACCCAAACAACTTATTGCTGAGAGAGTGAATCTTTTACATTAAATTTTTTGCACATCTGTAAATATGAGTTGTATTTCATTTGTCTTTTGTTTGTTGGTTTCTGTATTTTATCACGTATGTGTTTTTAACAGTTTAATTTGGTTTCTCTTGTATTGTGACTATTTATTTGTTGCTTTTTCTTTTATTATATCTTGCACAATATATAAATATTATATAGGGTAATTTCTGGTTTAGTTTTGGCATAATACTGGTCCAGTTATGGCTGTCTTCCGGAGCTTCTGGATAAGTTGTGGCTGAGTTCTGGGGTAAAGTTTGGCTTTTGTCCGGCTGACATCTGGGGCTTCCGGCACCGTTGTGGGCCAGTTGTGGCTGATTTCTGGGGACACTGGAGTTGTGGGTGAGTTTTGGTCTGCTTCAGGCCTGGTTCTGGTATTCTTTAGGCAAGCAGCTTAAGGGCCATTCGAGGGGAGTGGGCCGTGGTGGTGGTGGTGGTATGTGGGCCACAACAACAGCCTAAATTCAACCAGATAAGGCCCACAATTTGCTATCTGGGGCGCTTGTGAACGGAATAAAACTATAGGCTTACATAAAAAGGAATAGCCTATGTTGGCCTACATGAAATGTATTTCACTTAAATCATTGACAGATTAACAAAAAATAAAAAAAATGTGCTAAGTTTCGGTTTATTGTGACACCATCCAAATTTCATGGAAAGGAAAAAGAGAAAGCAGAAAATAGTTTTCTTTATTTTGCCAATCTTGACCGTTTTAAATCGCTGATCAAAACACTGGAAATGCAGGGAACGTTCAGACCAAATATTAATATAAACTACAGCACAAACCAACTGCAAATGTTTCATGATATTAAATGTAACAGACAAATATATAATATTAAATATGAAAGTTATAAAATGTGTTTTCTTGTTTTGTAGAGCTTGTTTTGTTTTATTGGGCCAACTAGATCAATTAGAAACAATTCAAATATCATTCTCCTTTTTCTATTATACACACAAGTATTAACTTCATGAAATCAATTAAAATCATCAGTTTAAACCGTTAGATGCTCATTCACGTGTCACCAGATCAACATTTCTCATTCTGAAATGTGTGGAAAGTAAAGGTTGGAAACAGTGAGACGTAACGAAGCCTCGTTTGCTGAAATCGTGATTTGTTGAGTTTAGATCTGAAGCACTGACTCCAGACTGAAAACTGGTAAATGTTTGGAGCTTCATGAAGAAACTGCAATATTGAACACACACAGAACAACTGCGACGAAAACAATATGATTTAGAAACTCCAGCACAATCTGCATATTTCTAAACGCTCCAGACAGACGTCTCTACCTGATCCTCACACACATTTGCTGCCGTCTGGAGTTTTCTGCTCCTCGTTTGAATAAAGTGCAGCATTTCTCAACTTCTCCACGCTCTTATTGCTTTCTCACAGCCGGCTGAGACGTCTCCTGAAGCCACAGTCACATGTTTGAGCTTCTGCTAATGAATGGACTGAAGATGCAGCTAAAGTCAGATTATTCTAGTTGATTTACACACACAACAGAAAGCCGTCGACTGGTTTTAATCAGGTTCACATGTAGTCTGTAACTGCTGAACACTTTACTCCTGTGTTCATGCGCTTCATTCAGTTTCTCTACAAGATAATAATAATAATAATAATAATAATAATAAATAATTAAACGCTGCCATAAAGTCTGAATAACAAGAGGGAAACTCAGAAGTTTCTGTGTTTCAGAGTTTGCAGTGAGAAAATACATCAGCGTCTCTATTGAAATTTGGTAAATTAATGGAAATATTCTTTCATTTACAATAAAACTAGCTTCACGTACAAAATATAATAGTATTGAATAAAAACAAAGCAAAAACATATTATTCATCATTTTGTAGAAGCAGAGTTAAAAACTGCTGAATTTTCTGTGGAAATGGTACACTGGCATTTTGCTTCAAAGAAAGTGACTTGAACGCATCTGAAAAACATGTTCAAGATGGCTGCCGTGGTGTGGCGCTCTCCCATTTTTTTGCACTTTTTGTTTGTTTGTTCTGTGTTTAGTCATTCTCTTTCTATCAGTTTTACCAGAGATGAACTACTGGACATAAGGCAACACAAACAAGACACATTTTTTCCAGTTTTTGATTATTCAGACGCTTTGTTTGAAGTTCTAGTCGGAGGGGCAGCGGTCCTACTCAAACACGGGAAATGTGCCGGCGCGCTGGTTAAGCTCCGGCTTCTGAACTGCGCTCCCTAGTATCCATCTCCGATCCCTTCCTAACACAACGGATGAACTTCTTCT